AATGATATTCATAGTAACCTAACTAAATAATAACATAAAGAAATAATAGTCGCGATAATGGTTGTTGATTTTTCTTCGGTTACAGATTATGATTCCTGCAATTTATTCCTTCGCGTTTAACGACAGTATATAATTACCTCCATAAAAACACCATAAACTCACTTGCAATGAATACCTGAGCTAACCATTATTTCAACTCGTGGACAGGTTATCATTTTATTACTATCTTTATTGCACTATATTATTTTATCACTATTAGGTAAACGAGGGTGGTGTCAATATCAGTACTTTACTCAGAATTTTGAAATAGACAGCTAGTGATTTGTAATGGATACTTGAAGTAACGATTATTTTGCAGATAGGTTATTATTTTGTTCCTGATTATTAGATATTGCTAATAAGGATGTCAACATCAATGCTTCATTCAAACTTCATTTTAACTGCCGTCTCAGATCCGTTACATCAAAATAGTTCTCAAAAGTAACATTAAAAATAGTATAAAAAGCAGTTCATATTCTCTACTTACAAAAGTGTTTTAAAAAAAATAAAAATTAAGTGAAATCCAAAATGTATCTAAATTTGGCGGAACTTTTATCTCTTAAATGTGAAATATTCATTATGTTTTAATTTCAGCTTGCAGATTGGTAAATAAATCACAAAAATATGAAGAGATTGAGAGATATATGCAAGCTAAATACGTATGGAAAATATTTCTGACCTGTTTAAAAGTAATAATAAAAAAGCCCCAAATTTTATTTTCATATAACTAGTATATTCTCGTGTAATAACAAGAAAGAAATTTTCTTTAAAATAGGCTAATCCATTTTTAAATTAGGGTTAGGGTATTTGAATATGACAAAGCTATTAGGGCTATCAGCCTAAGAGGATGAATGGCTTCATGGAGGACTCATGATTGAAACTGACTTGTGTTCACGTTACACATGGGAAAAACTACGAAAACTAACCATGCAGGCAGCCCCTACGCACGGTCTCGAACCCAAGCCAGGTCGAACTACCAGTATTCAGCGATCTCAACCACTCGGCCACTGATGGAGCATTAAATTTGTAAGGAATTTTCTCACTTCGTTCGATTTGCCCTCATAGTGTAATTGGATGCACGTCCAGCTCGCAATCGGTTGATCGGAATTCGAATTCCGGGGACGGCATAGCCCATATTCTCATCTTTGAAGCTCCAAGTGTTCTAAATAGTTTGAAAATTAATGCATCTGAATAATAAGAACTCACAGAACCTGCTTTTGTATCTTGATGAATAAAATAAGCTCTGAAACGTTCCAGTATAAGTTTTGGATCTCTACATTATGTGCTTATAATTACGAAAATGAAATGCCTTCCATTGTATTTAAATGTTCCAGCAGTTTTTGGAACTCTACATTATGTGCTTATCATTATGAAAATGAACTGCCTTCCGATGTATTTAAATGTTCCAGTATTTTTTGTATCTCTACATTATGTGCTTATCATTATGAAAACGAACTGCCTTCCGATGTATTTAAATGTTCCATTATAAATTTTGGATCTCTACATTATGTGCTTATCATTATAAAATTGAATTGCCTTCCGATGTATTTAAATTTGATCTGTTTTAAATACGGTATGTATAAACAAATATTGGATATTACTGTAATGCTTTTATTTTCTCTAAAAATAATTGTACTTGTTTAGTAATCAGAAAAGTGTATACATCATGTACTTAACATTTATAAATGCAGTACAGATGTGCTATTATTCATTAACAAAGTTACTGCTTGGCATTGCTTTTATATACAAAATCAATAGAAAGCAATGTGCGAAGAAAGTGTGCACTTTCACCTATTGTTCCAAAAATAAAGTTTATGGTTTGTGAATGAAATCCACTAATTCCAAAACGAATATGGCATGTTTCAATACTTCTCTGTCAGCAGTAAATAAAATAATAAATTATATAAATAAAAGTCTCAAAACAAATAAAAAGCATATCCGCTATAAAATTAATCTGTGATGAAATTAATCTATGTTACTTCTTTTGATGAGGCAATGATTTAATTAAATAATTGCAATGAAAACCAATCTTTTTTATTGCCTTAAATGGTGAAAATCTATAAGCCTGGTTCCAAGAACCAAAGAAGAAAAGAAAGGTTTAGTGTGAGTTTTTTTTTTTTTTTTTTTTGCTGAGTTTTCATGTAGAGGTTATTTTAAGTTAATAACAAAAGTATCCAAAACTATTGAATTCAAACTTTCTTATTCTCAAAATAATGTTTTATGTATATGATTCATATGTTTAAATAAGGAAGTCTGTCTTTTGTGGCTCTGACTTAAAATGCATGCGTCAGTCTAATTATAACCTAATGCCCTGCCTTCGATTACACTCCAAGTCACAATGAATTATCACCAGCAAGATTACAATTACTTATAGAATGAATAAATGAAAACTAAAGATTTACTTTGTTACCATGAGTCGTTTTACAAACTTTAAATTAATTGCAACACAAAACTGAAATATGGTTTGCCTACTGGAAATAAAAAAGGCTGTTCTAAGGTAGCTAACAAATTAAGTTTAATGTCTAGGTCATATATGAAAAAATAGTTTTTATCTGTAACTAATTGAAATTCCAGTGTCATTTAAAAAGTTCATGGCCATTAGCAGCAAACCTGTGGAGTTTATCAAAAGCGGAAGAATGACTGTTGAAACACATTTTAACCCTTTAACTGTCAAGTTATTTTGATGATTTGGGTACACAAATTGTCAAATTTTTTTATTGCAAAAGCCAAATGTTTAGTACAAAATAAAATATACTTAAGTAGTTAAAAATTGATATTTTGACGTACATGGGTAAAATTTTTAAAGTTTTGTAGCCACTGCATATTTTCTTTGAGGCAGCTGTCACTCAACATGGCAGTTTCAAAGTTCGCTTCTAGTGGAGCATTATTTTCTAAAAATTAAAAAATTAACTATTTTCTAAAACATAATAAATATAAGTGAATACCTATTAGTAGTTCAGTAATTCAGTCTTATGTGGTACAACTGGAAACACTTTTCCAAGCACAAACCAAACTCCACAATCACACACTACACCAGAATCGTGATTCCTTCCTTATCTTTTCCCCATTTTTATCCTTTTCGAACCAACACACTTTGCACTGTCTTTGTAGGCTCACGTTTCGCAGGAATAGGAGGAAAATGGGATATAAATGTCGTTCAGTAAGACGGGCAGGGTTATCTATTGTAGGTGGTCTGGCCAACATTCTTTTGTCCAGAAGCTGCATCATCATATTTATGTAAAAGCTCTTCTACAACTTGGATTCGAAATTCTAAAAATGTAATACGTTTCCCAACTACATTTTTATAGAGCAAATATGAGTTTCCAGAGTACCTTGTCTAGTAAATGTAAAAGTATCTTTTTATAATATTTTATCTGGCGTTTTCGGATTGTTGGATGAAAGGATATTTCCTGATCACAGCGATCTACACCACCCATAGTTAGACTGTAGTCAGAAATAATCTTCGACTTGAGTATATCTCCATTTTTCTTATTTTTGAGGCTGACCATGGAAGTATCATGAATACTGCTCATCAAACACACATCTTCATCTTCGGTTGAAGAATCTAAATCATCTATATAACGTTTCAAGAACCGGACGCTATTTTACAACAAAAAGATCCCATGCAGCTTGAACCAAATAACCTCTAACCTTTGAAATCTTCAGTAAAGTGCTGTCATCTATTGAACTGAGCGCACATTAACTTTTCCCGAGATACAGTCGGGTTTGACAAAGAGATGAAGCCGAAATAAACGTCTCCCGATATATATTCGGGTATAACAATACGATGCACTCAAAAAAAAATTAGTAATACTCGGGTAATACTCGGGTAATACCCGAGTAATACTCGGGTAATTTCGTGACATTTTCGAGCACTAGTGCTGTGCCCGAGATTATCTCGGGCATGACAGTTAAAAGGTTAATCGTACTATGAAGTAAAGCATCGGAGCTACCGAAAGCGCAAGAACCAAAAATGACTTGCTGCCAAGCTATCTTCACTGTCAGATCTTTACACGCCAAAGAATGCGATTCGATACGATGAAATTATTGTTCATTACATATAAATCCTCTTGTAAATTTCTAGTAAAAGTTCTAAAAGAGATAGTTTTATTTTCTAGTAAAAGTTTTAAAAGTTTTCTTTTCGTATTTCCTCAAAGTACCCTCAGCTTTCATCCACGAATTATTATGCCTCTGAATTGCAAAAAAGGCAGCTTTCGGGAAATCTAAAACACTAATTGGACTACGGAAAAGGACAACTAATTGGAAAAGGACAACTAAGTGCAATAAATTCTCTTTTAGTATTGGGAATCAAAATGTTGTACAGAGTGGTTAAAATAAAACTGGCTTGGAATGATCTCTTTGCAGTTTAGAGTACATTTTCACGAAACTCCGAAAACACGTTTCCGGACGAGTTTTATTTTGGCCACAGTCCAGACATAACCAGCCAGACAAAAAAATTTAACAACAAGTATTTTTATTCAGAACTTTAATAACTTTAATTAAAATGTATGAAATATGTTCTAAAATGTGTAAACATCTTTTGTACAATGCATAAAATAATTTAGCTGAAAACTAAACTATGGCAACTCTGCGCTTAAACAAGAAACGAATTATGTTTTATAATTCCTTTTTTGCCATTGGGATGGCTGAACTGATGCATCAGACAAATATTTTTGTAATAATTAAGTTTGTGATAAATAGTATAAATTAAACCTAATCCATATATATAGCAGAAATCCAATAAAAATAAGTAGTAATATAGAATAGGTTAATATGCGAAGAGCTACTTCGAGGCCTTCGGGCTGATATCTATGTTTTGTTTGCCTCGTGTGACAATACATATTATATATTCTACTTCTTCGATATATTGATTTTAAATGCAGTTTATATTTTCCTTGCCAATTATATAGTAATATGAATAAAGTAAAAACAAATTAGTGCATTTTTTATCTAAATTATAGGTTGCTGCTTCAGTAAAAAGCAAGGTACTTCAAAGGACTCATTCTCTTCAACTCAGCCCCGAGAAAAGACACGATGCGCTGAAAAGGATGCACAGTCTTTGGACAACAACTTCGCAGGATTCAGACCTTATCCCTAATGGTAAAGGTAAGAACTGTCTTTGAATTTTTATGAAAGTGTAAGTCATTAATATGGTCTTCGTAAATTTAAAGCAGCGCATAAGATAGACAATTTTGTGGCTTTTATTTTCTTTCCAAAAATAAATGTAAATTGCGAGTTTGAGATTTTTATGTATTCAAAAAGTGATCAAAAGTTACTTGTTGAAAAGTGAGGTTTTTTTATTTTATTTTAAAACGATTATTGGTAATACGCATGTTGATTACATGATTTAAAAAACCCGCCTTCGGTATATGTTACCAAATATTTAATAATTCATACCTAAAATTTTATGATGTAGGTTCTATTCCCAGGATATTTTAAAGCTGAGTAAAAATTATTTTTCTTTTATTATTCGCTTGTATTTTGCTTGAATAAATAAAGTTATTAAACTTAAGTAGTACTTATTTAATTTTTTAACTTTATCTTACTTTAACTTTTAGCATTTCTTTTAATGTATATTATATTTTTTTATTAATATCCAGTGCGTAATAAAATTTAATCAATTTTAAATCTTAAATTACTCAGAAATTGAACTACCTTGTAGAGTTCCTCACTTTGTAATTCTAAGTTAATGTTGGAAGTGAAGAATCTTAAGAACTGATAAGCGAATAATCGCTTGAGTTCGTGTGACAGGAAACAACAAAATGGAAAGGTAAAATAACCCTTTATTATTCAAACTGCGTTCTGACCAGAAGTAGTAAGTTGAAGTTAAGAATTTGACAGGAAATTAACTTTAACTGTTAATAAAATTAACATAATCCTTACAACCTAATTCATTAAATTGCAGAAAACAGTTTTGGTGTATCTGCGGTGCTTTTGTAAAACAAATGAAATTTACTAAAGCACATGTAAATCCAACTTCTTAAGAATGCTCTGTTAAAATTAATAAAATATATTTCAGCAGGGTGAATGATTTTGAGCTCTGAGATATCTCTTGCAATATCTAAAAAATTTACTGTTACGAACTTGCATTGTGACTTCTTTTAGAACTGCACAGTGGTTTTAAAAGTGTTATTTAAATAGATCATTTACATAAAACTTGGAATGATACATCAGAGTTCACATTCTGATGTGCAGTTCGTTTAGTTGGTTCTTCATATTATCAGTTAGCAGAATTCAACATTTTAAGAGATAAACGAATGGTTTCTCTTCTTTCGATATAGATTTTTGGGGGCTCAGAAAGTTGTTTGCATCGCTTTGATTGAAAATTTATGCATAAGATTCAAATAAATTTAGTTTAGTTTCGAAGAGTTATTTTAATTAATGTAGCAGTATATCTCCTTGATTATACTGCATAATTAACAATCTAATACATCAAACTTAGATTATTTTTTAACTTAACATTATGTAGGTATAAGACTACATTATTCATGAAAATGTAGAAAAAACTTATTTCTGTACCATACATTTTATTTTAAAATAATTGCTGTCAACGCAGAAAAGTTGATGAGTCAGAAAAAAATCTCCTTTTCGACTTTTGAAATAATATGAACATTTTGAAAATATATGTTAACAAGAAACAAAATGGCAACAAAATATTCAAGTTCGCTTTGAACTCCTGTAGCTTTGATTCTACGAATGCCGATTAGTTGAATTTCGATAATTTGAATTTTAAATGCATATCGAATTGAATAACAATTTGAATCTTGATAACTAAACTGGTTTACTTAAATAGTTCATCAATTTAAATAATTTAATTACTCAAATTCTTGATTCTCAATTAATAAATAAAAGGTTTCTCCCTTTACAATAAATTCAAAAAATTTAATTTTAGTTACATCGAACATTAATATTAAATACATTTTGCTCAATAGAACGTATGCTAAATATTAATGCTACTTTTTATTAATGCGTTGAATTTCTAATCCGGTAAGTCCGATTTCTTTCGGGTGACATTAAAGTTATTTTTAACACTTTTTGTTCTTGATAAGTGAATTATTATCCCCAAATCGTTGAGGCCCTGCCCCGTATCGCATTTGCGAGATCTTTAATTACAAAGTAATCTACTAATTCATTAAGTTGTGGGTCACTTGGCAGCCCCATATAAAACCGCACACTTGTTTTTGTCAGTGTTTAAAATTGAGCTTATGTATTTTACAAATACAACCTATATTTTACAAATACAACCTATATTTTACAAATACAACCTATATTTTACAATTACAACCTATATTTATATTTTACAAATACAGCCTATATTCATATTTCAAGGAACCTGAGTTGTTTTTCCTGTTATATCTTGATTCTATGCTCTGAAACATTTAATATAATATTTCCTTCAAGAAACTACTAAAACAATTTTGAAATAGTGTGTTTTGTGACGCTGTTTACGTATAAGATTTTAATGAAATATTACTGTTTTTTTAAAGAAAAAACATATTAATCAGATGAAAGAAAACATTTTATTAAACTCTTATTGCCTTTTTCAGTATAACATACGTCCTATAGTTGTGCCACTTTCTGCGGAGCTACTTTCACCGTTTGTTGCAATAATGTAATAACAGAAAGAATTACTTGTTACACTACAATCATCAAAATTTGTAATAATTAATTTCTCTATTTTTATTATTTTTCGATATTTTGAGACAAAATCGTTATTATGGTGAATGTACGCAATAATTTCCCATCTGGTTCCATAAAATGTAGTTACACATAATATTTGAAAGTTAAGTATATAACCAACACTAAAAATTGAAAAAGGATTTTGTGCGTCTGTAAATATCTTTCAGCTATCGATGTATGTGACAGATGAAAGACAGAGAAACTTTAAAAGAAGTTCTTTTAAAGTTTAAATGATTTAAATATTCTATACTGATTTGCAGGTTTTTATCTGGTTTATACTATTTATTGTTTCCGATGCATTAATTAACCTAGATATCTAGTCTACTGTTTTCTACAAGGTTTCGTAGCGAAAATATATTTACCTGTACAGCCAGCGATAAGCATTTCAATTCTTTAGTATTAATATGTGAAAAGAAGAGAGGAAACAAGTGGAACTAAAAACTAAAACAAAACTAGTATAACTAATTACTAGTATAGCTAATTATAAAATTTTAGATTAGACTTTACAGATTGCTTTGTAAAATCCGCTTTTCTTGGTATAATATACAAGTTATAAACTGGCCAACATTTTCCTTTATTAAAAATGTTGACTATGAATAAGAATAAATATATTAATTATGTCTTTTAATTATGAACTTGATATCTTTGTTTATATGACTGCCCTTTGCAATTTGGGGTTGAAATTTTTAACTTTGATCAAAGTTTTTATAGTTAAAAGTACACTTTTTCATTAAATTATTTTTAATTATATTAGATAGAAGACAGAAAAAAAAAAACGTTTTGGGGGATAACAAAATAATTATCATTACTCCTAAATTGCTCGGAGTCTTTGCATTCAAGTTACGATGAGATAAAATGCTAAATAAATACTTGAATATATTATACTCTAAAAGAAACCTGAGACAGAAAGTTGTTTCCCCTTTCTTAAAAAAAAACCACTTTAGATTCTTTCATTTCTTTAAGCTGGTGGTTCATTTAAACTCGATGTTTAGCCAGAAGCCACAAGAAAGTCTACGTAAAATAAGCGTTTATATCGCAAAGAATAGCCTCTACAGATTCTGGAAGTTGCAAAGTAAGAGAAATATTTATTGAGTTAAACCTAACTTTTAGGAAGAAGCCACACAAAAACTGTGTACAACAGTTTATTTCACAACGAATAACTATTATAAATTTGTAAGTTCACCAGCTGCAAAATGAGAAAAATATTTGTAGCTTCGAAAGTTTTAACTTAAACCCATGTGGCAACAGTTCCTGCGCTACAAAAAAAAAGTTATTAAAACAGTCGCATTTATACTGATTCCGAAAATATGGTCGATATTAAATAAAGCTTAAACTAACGACTTCCATAAATAACGATTTCAACTAGTAAGAAAGACGTGCCATTGAAAGATCTTTAGAAAGAACGCGTGTGGCACGATGTCATGATGATCTATTCCTTCTTTTGACGTCATTCGGTGCTAGTGGTGTTTCAGCAGTGGACGTGGAAAAAATAGTGTCCGCGGTTTTTAGAGTCCGCTCTTCCATTTTCATCTCTAGATTATTTGTATTCTTTGGCTCGTATGTGTTGTTATTCTAATTAGGAAAAGTAGCTTTTATATTAATTATCAGGTAGGTGTATAAAGGATTCAATACTTGTCTTTCCTATATTATAAATCGTAGAAGCTTTTTAATCATATTTTCTACTGTGCTTGTGTTTGTAATTCAGTCATTTTTCTTCCGCCGCATAGTTTGGGGGCAACGTTAATTTATACTAAAGTTATTGATAAAAATAATAGTTCTTTTTATCATTATGATAAATAATGAACTGAATATTTGCGTTTTTGTAATAATAACATGTAATGCATGCGCAGATTTCTTTATTTTTATTTCAAAATGACTAGCTACGTTAAGATCGAGTTGTCCATAATAAAACATGTTCAGTTTAAAATTTTGTTTCTAAAATCTGAGTTCACAAAATGTTTCCTTTTTAATAAACATCGAAAAAAAATTTTAAATGTCTCATTTTTAACAAACACAGACAAAAAAAAAGGTTGCAGCATATTTGAAATAGAAACCTTTTAAATAAATAATAAATTTCATATTGTAGTTAAACAGAAATTTTTAAATGATACTCCCTGTTTAACAATAATTTAATTATATCTGCATTAAATGAGATTATTGGGAAATTATGCAGATAACTTCCGGAAGAAACGATTCGCTGAAGTTGATGATGAATATAGCTGGGAGTCAAAAGAATTCAAAAGATAATGAATCTTTAAGAGTTTTAGCAAATTTTTCCATTTTAGTTTAACATCAAGACTTTGGTAATTTTTATTACCAAAATTATTCTGTATGTTGCGTTACTCTTTAATCAAAAATCGATTGGTATTTTAAAACTACTGTCGGAAATTTCCGTAAGCAAATCTCACACAGAAATTAATTCCCAG